GCTTCGCCTCACGAGGCTGGAGTCTAGTTGTGTTAACTGTCTTAGAAAAGAGCCCAACAGGTACCCTTTGAATTCTACACGGTTAACTAAGGCTAATCATTCCGGTCATAAGCTATCTGATTTCTCGTAATTTTCGCATGCAAAGGCAGAACATATTGCCTTCATTTGAAGTGAAGACGGAAGCGGAATGTGGTGGTGTAGGCCGGGTCGCTGACAGCGACTTCCTCGCCATCCTCGATCAAATCTACCAACTTTTTTCCCAAGTGAGGTCGGGTCATCTCCTCTAGCTGAGGTGGGAAACGCTGGTAGAGGGTCTTCTCTTCAGTCCGCATGCTAGGCTTCTTCAATTGAGCCTCAGCCCTTTCCCCGAGGCTGTCGATGAGCTCGCCCAGGGTCATATTGGAATCCACGTTCATCTTGCGGGCAAGTTCTCCGCACACAGGGCAGTCGGGCTTCTTCTCCGCCTCGAAGGTGTAGGTGTACACCCCTTCCTCGCCAGCATACATCATGTAGTTGGTTAGGAATGGATTGCAGCCAGTGGCGATCTTGAGCACTTCCGAAGTTGTGGAGGCTGCAATGACGGCGTTCGTTGATGCGATAGCCGGAATGATATTTTTGACCACGCCCTGGGTCATCTGGAAGGTAACGCCATGGATATGGAATTGCTGGGCACGTTCGTAAGCGGCATTGTATATCCACGATATGTGTTCCATATCGTCACTGTCAAATGTGTCATCTCTGCGCTTCTCTTGCCATGCGATCTGGTGCGCCCATTCAATGCAGTGTTGAGGCTGGCGCGGGATGGTGGCAATTGTGCAGAGAGGGACTGCTGGACGAGGTGCGTGCATATCCAGTTGGCACTCAATGCAGGATGAGATAGAGGGTAGAATGACGCGGGCTTGGCCCTTGAAACCTGTTTGATATATCAGCGACATGTTCTTGAGCGAGTTTGGTGATGCAGGTAGGTACCTTCAGTTCCACCATCAACAAGTGGCTTCAGGCTCAAGGGGTCATCTTCATCAACCATTGAGACCAACGTGGAATTTATCCAGCGCCGAGCTTCGATACTGTCCAAACCACAGACGATAATGTTAAACTGCATGTAGTAGTCTTCATCTTTATCCTGGATCTTGCCGACATAGGGTGTGATGTTCACTCCCTTCACTCGCTTTTGCACAAAAGCAGCGGCGACTTCAGCTTTGGGCTTTCCGATATCTGCCTGGCGGAACAGGAATTGCCGATTGAGATTTGAGATGTCAATGGTATCTGTTGACTGTGAGCTTCTGGTCTTGGCACTGGGTTGAAACACATACCCATGTCGATGACATGAATATTTTTAAATCCTGACAGTGCCAGATTCTTTAAGATCTCGCAGCCTAATCCACCAGCTCCGCTAGATTTCAGTCAGTCCTTCATCTTGGTAGACAACTTTGCGAGGTTGACAAACATCACCCTAGGATTTATGTTAGCAAAAGTCCTCTTCCCGAAGTGAATCAACTCACAGGATTTTGGAAAATTCAAGAGCATTGATAGGCTCGGGGCCAGGGTTCCAGTCGTCATCTGTAAAAGGACCACGTTTACTTAGGACGTTGTAGAGGTGCTTCCTGTGGTGTATTAGAGCAGATCAAAGGTCTCAAGGGTCATCCAACGCACCATCGACCTTGTTGGTCTACGTAAATCGGAGATTCTGTGGGATCTGGAGTTTCCGAATCCACATCCATCTTGATATGATCCTGTTACGGGCAACTGGTAAGAGTAAATAGGCGCAGTATCAAGTCGCGATACACGGCTAAACGCTCGTTGCTGTGGATGGCAGACGGAGTGAGCTTGATGAGAGTGGTATCAGGTACAGATCCAGTTCAGCCTTTTGATCGGATCACCAAAGTACTCAAGTCCAGTGTAATGAAGAGGGTGAGTTGACAACATCACCTGCGCGTGGGCTGTCTCGGGGTCACTATGGCTGACTAATCACAGGCCCGCCTACTGTGATCTTCACCTCAGGCACAACCTCTCTTTTCCCCCAGAAGTGATATTCAAATCGAAAATGGAGGGCCTTCTGACGGCAGTGAAAACTGTCAAGCTAGATTCAGATGCCCCTGTAACATCTGCTGTCGAGTCTCAACGTGCTGATCCGCCAGTAAGAAACGAATTCGATCCTGAACATCTATCATCACGTCACATTATAGATCTACTCAAAAGCAGTCCCGATCGTGAACAGCTGTCTGTCACTTTGGCAACCCTTGATCCCTTCAGCAAATCCAAAACTACAAAGGACTTTGACCTCCAGATCGCAAGTCCCATCACAGCCCAGATTCTCCAACTATTAGTCAGCGTCACGATTCCAGATCATTGGGGATCGCTGGATGCGAAAGACAGCAAAGGGAAAGACGCCAAAGCTCGAGCGGCATTGTTGAGATGCCTTAGCAGCGTCGCGGGTCTCGGTTCCTTGGTGGCTCAGCTGCGATCTCTAATCAGTGCAGCCCGCGCTTCTGCCCAGCAAGTCCAAGGTTCAAGCAGCCAACTTGGTATACGGGATATCTTGGCTGTGCTCGCTGCTTTGCTAGAGCCGAAAGACTTTTTGTTCCGCCTTTCTTCTGACATTTCGGTCATCTATGACAACAAGACTCGACAGCAAGTCACGTGGAGAGAGCTTGTCTCGCTCGTTGCTGCCGGCAAGATTCTATCGACAGCAGCCGAGGCTCTTACGGTTGTTGATAAGTCGAAACCAGTATCTTCAATTTCATGGGTTGGAAATGGTTCCCAATATGCATCATGGCTTGGGCGCAATATTTCTCATATGGCGGCGCGACTAGGCCCAGATAACGAAAGCGACTGGGCCTCAGTTGCTTTGTTGACAGGGCGAGCCTTAAGCCTTGGATATACAGGTGAACATACAGCGATGGCTTTATTTGAGTCCCACTCTAACGTCACACAGATCAGGTTGTCAAAGAGGTTTACTCGGATCTGCTTCTTTCTCAGTCCTCGCCGGCACACTTCGGAATCTTATTAGACCACCTCCGACGGACGGAGCAGCTTGCATTTTTAGAAGCGATCTTCCGTGATATACAACGAAAGCACTTTTTAGATGATCTATCGGCAGTGGGCCAGTCAATCACTCCTTCGGAGTCCATTAAAGGAGTGGCAGGTTTGATCTCTGTCATCATCTCTTCTCGGCCAGACCTGGAAAGCCAAGTCGTGGAATGGCTCTCAAAATCGCAAGGTGGCTCGATAAACACGCTGGGACTACGTCGTGGACTATTAGCCACTTGCAGTCACCGCGGTAGTAAGTTCGCATTGCCGAAAGGAATACAGAAAACGAAACTAAGGACTTCCAACAGGTGTGTTGAAGTCACTGCTCATACGCAGCCTTGAGCGATTTGGAGATAAGTTCTCTATCAAACATGTCCCAAATATTGTTCAGAATGGTTTGTCAACAGTCCACAGTCCTCTGTTTCCAAAAGATTAGCCTCTGACATTGAATAGCAACTGCACAAGTGATTCTACTTGCCGCTGGCCACCTCTATCGGCTAGATCAAGCGCAAGTGAAAGAAGTAGGCCGCTCAGGGGCATATCTCAACGCAGTCTCCAATCGACTCGCTGCGTCCTCTAACAGAGCGCGACTTCTTGGCATGATCGTTGGAACAGGAATATCTGAACTCATTGAGGAACCAGATAAAGTGCTGAAATTTGACCTAGAGGACATGCGAAGCGAGGAAGCTCTTTGGTATTTGGATTTGACAAAGGTCCAAGACGAGGTCGGTTCGCCTGAATCCATCAAAGCATTGCAAGAGACATTGCCAGCAAAACCAGAAGTGGTCCGCTCGAAGCCTACACAAAAGCCGAAAGCACAATTTTCCCGCCACCATACAAGCAAGATTGTTGCTATTGAAGAAATTGAGGATATTGGCGAAGATGAAGATGAAGATGACGATCTCATTCCGTATGAAAAGCCGGACGACGACGCATACGATTCTGATGACGATCCCACGTTGATACAACGGAATAAGCCGACAGCGCCTGTGTAAGTACAGATTTTGCCTGCTGATATCAATCTCCCTAACAAATGTAAGCTACATCCGTGATCTGATTCCATCTCTCCGAGACACCGAGAATGTCGAGCGCCATCATCTCGCCATCACCACTGCCCCGTCTTTAATTCGACGGAAGATAGGGTTCGGAACTGAACTTGCAGAGCAGATCGAGGAGCTAGCTCTGACTATCGTGGGTCTTCAAAACGACAACAATCATCCTTCATTCCATGAATCCCGCCTACAAAGCATGATTGCATTGATTGTGTCCGAGCCCTTCAAGATGAGCCGCTGGTTTACTGCCGTCTACTTCGATGGAGACCTTTCTCAAGTCCAGAGATCCGCTGTTCTTACAGCCCTGGGTCTGAGTGCTCGCGAGTTAGCTGGGAATGGAGAAGATGACGCCAAAGCACTGCGTTTCCCAACTAATGGCGATACCTCATTCCCATCCAAACGGCTCTCGCCTGCCCTAGAGGCGATCTACTCAGGAGCAAATGAGTCTCCCATTGCAACGCTCACCCGGGAAATGTCTCGCACATCCTTGGAACCGCTTGCAGCCAACGCAGCAGATAGGATGACTGGCCCCAACGCTCTTAAGGTGCGCACATTCTCATCGCGGATGGAAGTCGAGAAGAAGCGCCAGCAGCGTGCTGCCCAGCGCCAAAACTCCACAATTAAGGACCTGCACAAGGTGCTTGCCGAGGGCTTGTTCTTCCCACTTCAGGGTAGATTTGAAATAATGATGCTGCAGTTCTCGTCGTATGTCTTATTCCACATGCCATTTCGAACAATTTATATTAACATGTCCCTAGGTCCTCCATGCCGTCATACAACCCATTCTTCATTCCCCATCTCCTAACTCTCTTCCTCCAAACCCTCTCCCTCATCCTCTCCACAACAGGTCCCCACACACCCTTCCTCCCACGCCTCACCCACGAGACCCTCTCCCTTCTCTTACCGCTACACACGTCCTCGACATCCAGCGAGCCAACGGTCACTGCCGCACTCCTATCCCTCTTCCTAGCTGTGGTGGATCTCAATATTGCGTCTGGCTCAAATGGCGAGCAGCGTCTTGTCACCGAGTACGCCACGCAGGTGATCGAGTTGCGCGAGTGGGCTTCCCAGGTCTTTGACCGGACGCCGCCTTCGGCTGCGCGGGCTGACACAAGCTCAGCGGTTACTGACCCACAGGAGCAGATACGTACTCTTGCTGCCGGTGTTATGGTGCGACTCGGGGAGGTGATAGAGCGGTATCAGGGTCGGTTGATGGGCGTTCATTCTGGATTTAACTATTAAGTGACTCTTTAGGATACATTCACCGGTTTGCTAGGTTTAAATCTAGAATCGAAGCGGATAGCGGATGACGGATTCATGTGAACATTATGGAAGACACCACGTTGAACGAATCAAACGGCCATCGGCGCACCTTGGTCTTTACATTAGAAAGAAGACTGTAGAGCACGCTGCTCCCTTTCTTCCAAAAATGACATACATATGTAGCTACCATTATAATCACTGAGGCGTAGATTACCCCATTTATTCCGCCTTGGCAAAGCTACCCTTCTCGATAGCCGCCTCCATCATTCGATCACCACTAATGATACTCGTGGTGCAGATAACGATCTTCCTCCGTGGGGCCTCCTGCGCAGCAATGAAGCGCAACGCAGCGATCTCCGTGAAGGTGATACCCCCCAAGAAAAAGACATACACGGTCTTCGTAGCAGAGTTACCGCTCAGCGTTTGACGAGCCCGCACAGCCTTATCATCACCCTTCTGGACAATGCTGAAAGTCGCACCGCGAGCACTCTTGACAACGTCCTCGAAGCCAAGCCAGCCAGGCGACGTTGTATTAGCAGTGTTCAACGAGGCGGCCGGCGTACCTCCCTTGATCAACGACACCATATAAGACTTTTGTAACACGCATTGAACCAGGCGGACGCTGAGGGGCGCAAAGCCGCTGTACACGTAGGAAATATCATTCGGATCCTTCTCGCTGACCTCCTCGATGACAAGACGGAGGTTCTTGCGCAGGTACCCGTAATTTGTCTTTGATCCTGCTTGCGCGCCAGATGTAGGTAGGAGCATCGTGGTAGCTGAGGATCTAGGCTGGAGAAGTTCCATTTTCTCTAGCGCCCAGAATGTGAGGAGGTGCTGGTGTCCGTACGCTTGGACTACCTGTTTCTTGAAACTCTCTAGGTCGCGGGGGCGGAGACCGCCGGACATGCAGGACTCCAGGCACAGGAGCCGTAGAACAGTCTTTAGTGGGACGTCTCGAGCTATAAGCTCTTCGATTGTCTCGTGCTGGTACGTGGAGTCCGCACCAGCTGCGTTGTTCTGCTGTACTTCCAAAGTCTTGCGGAAGCTTTCGGAGCGCGTGAGTCGCATTATTTCTTCTGCGAGGTTGGTATGGGTTCGAAGACTCTGGTGCTCCAGCTGGTAGGTTGGTAATCGGTTGACAAACTCTCGAAGCTCGCCTGTCGTTTTAGCCGTGTGACGGCTTTCGTACTCATTTTCTAAGCGGCGTGCCACCTTATTCAGGATATCGCCCACAATTGCAAAGTTTGCATCACGCAGCTGGTTGAACAACTGATCTGAGGCATCCAGCTGTATCTTTCTTTTCAGTCCCTGCTTGGCTTGCTGGGGTGCCTTGGATGACTCTTGGGACTGTGGCGTGGGAGCAGGACCGACAATGCTCGTATCAACGTCTGCTTGGTTGTTCTTTATACCGACATATTCATCGATTAAGCCTTCATAGGTGAGCTGCGTGAGAAGGGCTGTCCCAAAGTCCACGTCACGGTCAATGATGATCAAGTTCTCTACACTCGCACTTGGCAATAGCCCTCGTGCAGAGGGATCAGCCAATCCGGAGCTCTCCTCTGCATCAAGTTCTTTCCTCATGCGCAACAGGAGATCTGCCAGGCGCCGAGCATTGTCGCCTTTTCCGACAATGCGCGGGAAATAGCCATGACGCTGCTGGACACCCATGAGAGCCTTAGCGGCATGAAAGATACATCCGGGATCTTTGTGCTGAATAGCAAGGTCAGAAAACGTCTCATTCAAACGTTAGCAACCTACCGACTTACCAAGTACAGGTCTCCAAACGACTCATCCAGTTCTAGTGACAAGATATCTTGTTCTAGAGGCATAAAATAGAGAGGGAGCTCGGCGATATTCACGTCGCCGGTGATTCCTGCTTCCTCCAAGACCGCATTGCTTACAAGGGTCCGTCTTGGAGCGAAGAAGATAGAGAACTCATGTTCAACGTTCCCATTATTCTGCAGGCGTTTGATTTGTTCTAAGGTAGAAATGTCAGCTCATCCTGATGGCACTCAATCAGAGATAGCAGGAAAGGGCCCTAATGAAACGAGCTTGTAAAAATATTGTAAAGATAGTTATCGATATAGGGAACGTTTCTCCAGATTATATAGAGTAGAAAAGCCTCTGCATAATCTAATGATGGCCCATCATGGACCCAAGCGAAGAGTTCGAATCTACACCAGCCTGACAAGCTGAAAGGAGGCAAAAAGAGACAATGTCATACCTGCCACAATTCGAACGTGGCGAGCTTTCTCGCCACGAACAAGGAAAACAACATTGCGTTGTGATGAGTCGATGTTTGCATTCTCCAGCAAGAAGACCCGGTCCACACCGTACTCTTGGAGCACGGAGAACTTGACGAATAGCCCCACTGGACCGGCCAGCTCCTGGCTTATGACGAGGTTCTTCTTACCCCGGGCCTGGAGAATAGTTAGCGCAGATCCGGAGTATCAAGGAGTTGTACTCACGCCTTCTAGTAAAGTCAAGAGATCCCTCCGCGCCTTGTCCCTAAAGTAGTCCGCATCAGACCCCGATAAAGGAGCCATTTCATCCAGGCAGCAGAGGCAGTGTTGTGGCCAAAAATAAACAGAGACGTTGAAGTGCCACTGCGCCCGCATTGGGTTAGCACTGCCACTGCTGATGTAACAATGTAACTTTGGTATTAGCATGGTTGTCACTGCACCATCCCCTATAAACATAATGGGCAACTTTGGTATTCCCTTCGTATGTATATTACCATCAGGCGGCGATCTCGAACATCTAGCTCCCCTGAAGGCGTCTCAAATTAATTCTTTCGCTTGTCTCATTTCATTCTCTTTCTCCTTTCTTGGTTGCACTCGCATTTACCCTCGACCATTTTAATTTCATTCCACAGATCTTCACAAACATACAGTCCCCCACATCATGGGTCTTTTCAAGAAATCCGATGGCGATGATGACTCTAACCGCCGAGCACTCTTTGGCTCGCGGAAGAAGGACAAGAGCCCATCGACCCCCTCAAACCCTTACGCCCAACCAATTCCGGTAGACCCATACACTAAAGCCAAAATTGGCGCAGGTGTTGCCCCCTTACCTGCCGACCACCCAGCCGCCAACGGCGGCTCCGCGGCGCAGAGCCCCCACAACATCCCCTCGGACAACAAGTACTCCGCCAACAGATACGGAAACCAAGGTGGCTACGGAAGTGATCGATTCGGCGGATCCGGCGCAGGCGCCGGCTCCCCGGCCTCGGGCTCCCGGTATGGAAGCGGTGGCTACGGAGGTTTGGGGGGCGGCGATCCCAATGACCCCGCGGCTGCAGATTCCGCTCGCAACGAGCTATTCGGTGGCGCCAACAAGAACAAGAACCGGTCACCGGACAACTCGGCCGGTTCGCCACCACCGTACTCCGAGGGTCAAAATGGTCAAGGACAGAACAACTACGGTGGCGGCAGCAACGAATACAGCATGGCAACCTTCCAGGATCGACAGCTAACAGCCGAAGAAGAGGAGGAGGAGGAAGTTCAGGCGACGAAAAACGAGATGCGCTTCGTGAAGCAGGGTGATGTGGCGTCGACACGGAATGCACTCCGGGCTGCTGCGCAGGCAGAAGAAACCGGTCGTGCCACTCTGGCCCGACTCGGTGCGCAGGGCGAGTCAGTCCACGACACGGAGAAGAGCTTGGACATGACGAGCATCGAAGGCCGTATCGCCGAAGACAAGGCAAAGGAGCTCAAGACCCTCAACAAGAGCATGTTCGCCGTGCACGTATCGAACCCGTTCACGGCATCGCGCCGCCGGCGCGACCGCGATGAGAAGATTCTCAATACACACCGCGAGGATCGTGATGTCCGCGAGGGCACACGGTCGGAGGCGCACGCGACTAATCAGCGCATGGACCGGGTGTTCCGTGATATTGACCGCGATGCGGCGAAACAGGGCAAGGGCAAGAAGGCGAGTGTGACCGAGCGTGCCAAGTACCAATTCGAGGCGGATAGCGAAGATGAGGGCATGGAGGACGAGATCGAGCAGAACTTGGATCTGCTCAGTGGTGCTACTGGTCGGTTGAACGGTCTTGCCTTGGCCACTGGAAAAGAGCTGGACGAGCAGAACAGGCATCTCGAGCGTATCATGGGCAAGGTGAGTTTTTACGATGCCTTCAATCTAGTATTGGTGTGGAGATGGGACTAATTGGCTGTAGAGCGACTCTGTCGACGATCAGATTGCCATGAACCGGGCCAAGCTGGACCGGATTCGTTAGGTACGTTGGTTGTTAAAGGCAAATGGGGCTGCGGTATGCCTGGTGCTGTCCAGCTCAGTAATTTTCTTCGTGCGTCCTGTCCGTTGGGTATGGATCACACATTGGCGTTGGTGGTTCTGCATTGTTTGCCGTGGTCATATCAGACGGCGAGTAGAATATTAGTTGAACATCAATTAACATAATTTCATTGCGGTTCATTTCGAGTCAAAGCTTATACATAGAAAAATTCGCTTTCACAAATTAAGCCTTTTTTGGCCCTTTTCTGCTGTCTAACAAACTGAGAAGGGGGACAAAATATCTATATAAGCAGATGGCTAAAAAGACTACCTGAGGACAGACTACCAAAAAACGACCCTAAAAACACATAAAAAGACTATTCCTGTACGTCATCGTTGGACTCTATCGGCCTACAACATATATCGTAGGGCAGTAAGCCAGCCCCTTGACATTCAACTTACTCAAACCTCAACCGCAACACCCAAATCCCATGGAGGTCGACCTCGGAATACTTCGACTGCGGGGAGTGTGGGGGAGCACTGGAGAATGAACCTCCGCAGCCCTAAATGTAACGGAGTGTAGAACCACACTTCCAACCTAAAGACAAGTCACTTACTTCTATAAGCCACATCATGTCTCTACCCCAAAAAGCCGATATCCTCGTGATAGGCAGCGGCAACGCCGGCCTCAGCGCCGCCCTCTCAGCCGCACAAACCAACCCAACCCTAAGAATAACCGTAATCGACAAAAGCTAGTATCCTGGGCAGGAGGCAACACGTACTTCACAGCCGGCGCCTTCCGCACCGTCCACAACGGGCTACGCGACCTCCTCCCACTAGTCGACAACACCGAGCAGCACAAGCATCCCTTATCGACATGCCAAGCTACACCGAACAGGACTTCACTGCAGATCTCCAGCGCATGACAGGGAACCGCACCGACCCTGCGCTATCAGCAGCTCTAGTCCACGACTCCCGCGCCGCCGTCGGCTGGCTAGCCGCCAACGGCGTCCGCTTCCAGCTCTCCTTCAACCGCCAGGCCTACAAGTCAACGGCAGGATCAAGTTTTGGGGTGGACTCGCGTTAAAAACTCAAGACTGCGGAAAGGGTCTTGTCGAGGATGAGTTACGCGCGGTCACAAACGCCGGCGTGGATGTGTTCTTCGACACGGTTGCTCCAGCGGTGGTGACTGACCCGACGAGTGGTGCTGTTGTTGGCGTTGAAGTTGTCAACAGCGATAGCAGTACTAACGCACATAATAAAATCACCATCGCTGTCGGCGCCGTCATTCTCGCTGCAAGCGGTTTCGAGGCAAATCCGCAGCTTCCTGCGCAGTGGCTCGGTCCTGGGTGGGATTGTGCACGCGTGCGTGGCACACCGTATAATACCGGTGAGATGCTACAGATTGCGCAGCGGGACGTGTCGGCTAAGACGGCGGGGAACTGGAGTGGATGCCATTGTGTGGCGTGGGATGCGGATGCGCCGTTGGATTCTGGGAACCGGGAAGTTTCGAATGAGTATACGAAGAGTGGGTACCCGCTGGGGATTATGGTGAATCGGGATGGGAAGCAGTTTGTTGATGAAGGCTCCGATATGCGGAACTATACGTATGCGATGATTGGGCGGCGGGTGCTTCAGCAGCCTGGGCAGGTTGCATTCCAGGTTTGGGATGCGCGAACTGTGGCGTGGCTGCGTGAGGAGTATCGTGGTGAGGTGGTTCGGCGCATTGAGGGAGCATCGTTGGAGGAGCTTGCGGAGAAGTGTGTGGAGGTTGGACTTGTTGATCCTAGACGCTTCATGGAGAGTGTTAAGGAGTATAGTGCTTCTATCGAGGGTGAGGATGGGCAGAAGAGGTGGGATCCTGCTATTAAGGATGGGCTTGTTGCTAAGGGGCTGCCTGTTCCTAAGTCGAATTGGGCTTTGCCTATTCACAAGCCGCTTTTCCTGGCTGTCAAGGTCACGGCAGGCATCACGTTCACTTTTGGTGGATTGGCTGTGAATCCTGGAACTGCGGCAGTCATTTCAGAGACGACAAGTGATGAGGTTCCTGGATTGTATTGTCTGGGTGAGATGCTTGGAGGCATCTTCTACGATAACTACCCTGGTGGAAGTGGATTGACTTCTGGGACTGTCTTTGGGCGTCGTGCTGGTCGAGCAGCAGCGGAGCGAGCTGCGAAGAGTGGAAGACTAAACGGTTGTCAGGAGAGTAGATAACTATAGAGGAAGTGAAAGGAGACATGCGACTACGTAACTACAGAGCATTAGAAAGATATTCAGAATGTCTTTCGTTGATTAGACAATATATTTAGTAGCGACTGTAATATGAAACTCGAACAAGGCCAGGCCCAGCCAGTATCAAAACATAGGACAAAACTTCTTCCTATGAGTATCATCACCAACACCAACCCAAACTTGCACGTTAACCCATGCACTTTGAACGCAGACTTGGTGGAAAAGGCGATTTGGGGAAAAGAAGAACAGTGTAATGGGCTTAAGCCATGCAAAATGCAGGCTATGAAAAATTAAGAAGTGAAAAAAATTCAGGGTATGGCCTGCGGAGAAAATAAGGAAACATCGAATCATCACAAGCCCCCATGGTATCGAGAAAAACAGAAAGGTGACGCCCAGGTCTAGCGAAAGAATAAGAAATGAAATGAAAACAAAGCATCCAGCCGGAAACCTCTATGGTCGTAACGTGGTAACAAAGGAAATATGGGAATATGAAAGAAAAAAAGCAGAAAAGGCTCTCTCTTGCCTGTGGCCCTCGAACAGAACCCATTATATCCATAAATCACAGACCATCTTGGAAGGAGTATGGTATGTATAAGCGTTTCTGTCTCCGATGAGATGTTTGTCGGGGGTTGGTATAGAAAAAGATGATGAAAAGGTGGTCCACGCTGTTGTACAAGGAGACGAGAAAGCTGGAGCTGTTTGTATAGACATGCCAACGCAGTTGGTTCATGCTCGTGGCATAGGAAGAACGGGTTTGTGGTGGAGGAAGATCTGGCGCTTTGTGCGCGAAGAGCGTAGGAGAGAGAGCACTCGACGGGATTTCCGCTTCGAGTAGAAGAATATAGTCGTATGAAAATAGATTGGCAGATTACTCGTCGTCGTCGCCAGAACCGGTGTCTTTCTCGCCCTTGTGCACCTTCTTGTGGCGACGCAGGTTCGAGACGACGGAGAAGTGCCGCCCGCAGCCTTCAACATCACACGCGAATGCTAGAGAATATTAGGATCAGAATTTCAATAAGTCTGTCTGCCAAAAGGAACTTACGCTTTTCACCGGTGTGACTGTACATATGCGTCTGCAGAGAAGATGGACGCGTGAACCGCTTGTCGCAGACCTTGCACTTATGCTTCTTCTGTGTGTTGGAGGGCATCTTGGAGCTGAATTGGCTCATCATTGATTGCGGGCCAGGTGGAGCACTGCCGGCCAAAAGGCTGGTCGGCCGGGGGAGAGTGCGGGATTCGTATGACTCGGAAGTTGTAGAGCTGTAGTCTGTCACGGATGAGTCGACGGAACCCACCGAGGCGCTGTAGTAGGGGTAGTTGCCGCCGGAGGAGATGGAGGAGGTGGTAGATTGTGTGGAAGGGAAACCGTAGGAATCGGCTGAGCTTCGCGCGCCGCGAGGACCGGGAGCGTAGATGTTGCGCGGGGTCAAGTCCTGGCTGAGAGCGACCATTCCGCGGCTGGCGTCGAGCGCGTCACCGAAAGTGGGGGCGGAAGCTGAAGCGCCAACGCGAGCAGCATCTCTGTGTATTTATGTAAGTTTTGCGATTCCGAAGCATGTAAGCGATGCGGACTCGGAATTCAACTTACGAGTGCGAGATACGACGGGCGTCTTGCGGGGAGGGGTGAATGGGGGCGTAGGCATAGCTGGAAGGCGCAAAGCTGCTCATTGGCGGAGCGGTGGTGTAAGAGGGAGCCTGGTCGAAAGTTGTGCGCGGCACCTCGTGTTGCATTCCCATTACCTCTGGACCATAGCTAGAGGTTGCGTAGGTGCTCCCAGCCACCATTGACGGGGCGGACACTGGGATGTTGGGATAGGGCATAGACATGCCGGAGCGATTCACTTCCTCTTGCTTGACCTGACCTAGGCTCATGCTGGCGCCATTGCCCATGGAGGTCGCATAGACTGGGGGTGTCGAGTGCGATGAAGTGTGCGCCGCCCACGGGTCTGTGAATTGTGGTGGGGTGTGGTGATAGACATTGTCGAAGCTCATGCCGCCATAGGGGCGGTTCTGGTTTTCCATAACCATCGTCATGGGGGATAGAGTCGCGAATCGATCGCGTGTAGAACCTGTATAGAGAGAGAGTTCGAAGATCGAGTCCAAAGGGTTTCCTTTGGAGCACAGTGATCGCCTGTGTTGATCCGGAGGTATATGAAGAGAAAGTGATAAACCCGATGATCAACAATTATTTCATATTTTTAAGGGAGAAAGAGAAAGGAGAAACAGTCTGGGGAAGGGGATCGGCGAAGCTTATGAAGGAATATAAGGTGTTAGGCATGATCCCATATACTCCAAATCCCAAGTGCCACTGACGACGTCCCGTCAAGGGTTGCAGATCGCTGGAAATTATAATACCGGTATTTGTTTTATTTTATTTTTCTCTTTTTATGAATTTATATTTTATAATTTTGAGTTTTTTATTTTATCTTTTTATTTTTTTGGATTTCACATTTTAAGAATTTTTATTATTATTATTTTCCCCTCTCCTCTCTCCAACATTGGTCGATTGGAACCATGGCTTAGGGCAAAAAAAGTGGTCCTCAACGGGAACCAGTTCCTTGGATATGACATTACTCAAAGTGTTTACCCTAAGCATACTAGTTATACAATTTACCCTTTTTCAATCAGGGTCTAAAATATATTAATTGCTTAAGCCTCAACTAGGCTGAGGAATGGAAGATCTAAAGAATCTGTACGGAGTATAATCAGTGTTTAAATGAGAATGCCAAAGTTGCTTGACTCCGGCGTCGGAACGGTAATTATAATCAGCCATAGAAGGTGGGAGCCATAGAAAAGCATAACCAAAAATATTTCCTAAGAACATTATCATAAGAGAACGAAAAAGGAGAAAATCATGAGACCCAAAAAGTAGTCGGTGACCTCAGAATCAAAGGGGGTGAAGACTCCGGAGTAGGGGAATGTTCAATTGGAGACTAGCCGTGATGAACGCTGATGAATGGTCCAACTGTGCCGTGTCTGAGGGAAGAGGAAACGAAAAAGGAAATTTATGATTAAAATGAATTACAATAAAAGCCACGGAGTATAGTATTTATAATATTATATGTAAAAAAAAACCAAAAAGAAAGAGGAAAAAGGGACTGCCAAGAAATAAATCACCAAGATTCGCCCTGAGTCCGTTGTTTCAATGTAGCGGGGCAGATCCCAGTGTCAAAGGGTATACCCGTTACCGTGGGGGTTAATATGAGTGATTATAGTGATAGTTCTTGATTACGGAGTACGGAGCACGGAGTACAGTCTAGTCAAAGTGATTATCATACTATGGCCGTTAGTCCGAGTAGGCCCAATATACAGTGAACTAAATCAACCTCTAAAACTTTTCAAGGACCCTTTGAAAGGACATGGCTTAAAGACAAACCCACATCTGGGATGGCCATACTGAAGTCTATCGGAAATAAAATTCCTGTTCTTATTTTTTTTAAAAAAAAAGTCTAAAAAGATAAAAAGGAATGGCTTAAGCCATGGAGGGACCTTTGACACGGCACAGAGACGGTTTAGCGGGCCAACCCGACCTTACATAGAGAGCAGGGAGGAGCATCGAATCACTAGCCGCCCAACATTATTGACTGCATTCTAATTCCATTCGGTCAGGGAATTCGGCAAAAATGTGATGACGTTTGAAATCCCGCGTCGAAGGACTCCTGTTTCAGGAACTAGACTGAATATATTCCATACAGTGTACGTAGTCTTAGTATGTTGTATGTTGTACTCCATAGCCATGTGGAGGATGTACCGTGCAGTGCAACGGAGCATACTCCACACGGGACAGTAAGACTACAGAGAGCGGGAATAACACTGCATGGAGATTCTCGGTCGGTCCTCAAAACAGAACTTCTTATCCGTCACACCGTTTAGTTTTCCCTCGGTCGCAGAACCATAAACGCACACGAAATACGAGCGTGCAATGAGGTCTCACGCAACGGAACACAAAAAGAGCGCCTCCTGCAGGAAGAAGGAATAAATTTGAATACCAACGCTGCGATTAGCCGGGCCATGCGACCTGTATCACATAGGAAACACCCTAAGTCCACGCCTAAGGCACCCGGGTGAACAAAACCGGAATCCATCACAACCTCGTATTGGGCCTGTGATGATAAGGACCACGGGCTGCAAGCCATGTTTTCCCTCTTCCCTCCTTTACTGGGATCGCGACAGCTGGACATTGACGTCGACGTCAGAGGGGCGGAACAGCGCAACCATAGTGGTGGGTAAACGGGAAAAGGGCCGCTTTGGCCATATTGGCGGGCGCGGCTCCCGCAATAGCGCGGTAGAAGTTGATGACCTGAATGGGACGTATCACAATCTATTGACCCTTTTTGTTTCCCTCTTCCTGGTGGGTTCCTTGGAAATTATCCCCATGCCTCGTGCTGTGGAACCAGCCATCTCCTCTTCTATCCGATCAAAATTCGCTATTCAATAGTGTATAGACTGTGCAATAAATAAATTTCCGACATGGATTCGCTATGGTCCCCGAGTCTCGGGGATTGGTGTCATCCCCGAGATTGCTCTATACTGTACATACGGAGTCCAGGATCACAAGGTACGAGTAAAGGCAGATCCTAGCAAGAGCCGAGGAAGAGGCTGAAGAAAAGTTACATAACCTTGAGCCCATGAGGTCCAATCATATAGATTGCATAAGTCTCCATCAATGATTGGGTTTTAACCCGGGGGGGAGGTAACAAACGTTTAGTGTAAGACCGAAGTACGATGAACGTCTATTGTATATCCCGCCCTCCGTAAACCGTAAGGCATCTCAGGATCAGGATCAACCGCCGCTCTCCCGGACGAGAGGACAAAACACGTTCAGTGGACTCGCCACTGCGGAGATCTAACCGGGAAGCTTAGGACCATGGACGCAGACCCAAAACCAAAGCCAAAATAAATGCAGTTCCAATTTTCTCCTCGGTTTCACGCTGGTCAACTTCTCCGCATTCCACTCCATGGCGACGCCACGGCGTCCTTGG